GGGTTTGGTGTTTTGGGTTTTGGGGTTTCGGGTGTCCCCACTCAGCAACAGTTGAATAGTATCTAGAATATGTACATATAAGCCCCGTACTCGTAGCCTTATTATAGACTGTTACTGTAGGGGGGCAGCAACTTCCAGCCCAAATCACGTAACCCTACACCGCAAAGTTCAAGGCTATACCAAGAGACTGTCCCTAAACCCTAAACCCTAAAGGACCTTCTCCCGGAGGCCTTCTCTTACAAAGTGTGCGGCCTGGGGTGTTGCATGGGATCTGAAGGTTAGGCTTTAGGCTTTAGAGTTTAGGGTTTAGGGCTTTAGCATTAGGATCTCCCCAACTACTGAACACCTCCATCTGGTGCTCTGAACCCACATGCTGAAATCCCTGGCCCTGGACCTAAGCCCTAGAGAAGTGTCAGTTTTGCCCAAGTTCTCGTATGTCACGGAGCAAACTGAAATCACTATGTGCATAAAGAAATAGAGGTTGCACAACACATACCAACATGGACAACAAGACGAACATTCATTAGCAACATGAGGAACTGACCAACCAAGAAACAAGAAACAAGAAACCAACCAACCAACCAACCAACCAACCGACCGACCGACCGACCGACCGACCGACCGACCGACCGACCGACCGACCGACCGACCGACCGACCGACCGACCGACCGACCGACCAGCCGACCGACCAGCCGACCAGCCGACCGACCGACCGACCAGCCGACCAGCCAGCCAGCCAGCCAGCCAGCCAGCCAGCCAGCCAGCCAGCCAGCCAGCCAGCCAGCCAGCCAGCCAGCCAGCCAGCCAAGCCACCAACTAACCAGCCAAACAACCAACCTGCCTACCTGCCTTTCTTAGCTACCTAATTCCCTAAGCCCTATACCCTAATTACCCAAGCAGCTCTTCTTCTGGCAACCACGGACACGCGTTTGAGACCACTGTCCTTGTGAACCAGGGCAAAGTCAGTTTTCCGTCAAGTTGAGCTGAGCGTAGACCCCACACACGAAACTTAAACCCGAGAGTCCGAACGGGTTTAGGGTTTACGATTTGGGGTTTAGCGTTATGACCCAAGATCTGAAGCCTGACGCCACTTACATGCTGGATCTTGCGTCAGCCCCATCTCAGTGATTTGCCCAGTGCGACCCCAGGTCTTTCGGGACGGGCAGCGCATCACAACGCTGGAAGACTTGAGCGGCAACGGGACCGCACCCCTCCCGGCAAGCGCAGAAAGCCTCCCGTAGGTCCAGAACCCCACGTTCTTGGTAGAGAGTACCATTAAAGCCTGAGCCCCCTAAACGTCCCAACATGGTTTAGGCTTGGAGGCTTCGGAACTGCGGGGTTAGGGTTTTCAAGGGCTTGAGGCGAAGAGGTCAGGCATTCGGGGAACCCAAAACCCTTAAACCCTAAATGTAGACTAAACGGCTTAGTTCAAGGGGAACGGCGGAGTTCTGCGCTTTAGGGTCCATGGCACCTTTAGGTCTTGACGCGCTATGCCCCTGAACCAACAACCCGGACCTCCGGCACATGTTTGAGCAACATAGAAACTTCAATGGTTCAGAACAAGAGTAGTAAGAATAGCAGTAGAGTTATGATACTTCTATCCTCCGGACTTCATCATGCCTGTGATATAATATGCCCCAGAACCCGGATCTAATTGCTCATATCTGAGTTTCTCTAGCCCTTCGTCGGATTCAAGAAGTATTGATTTCCGTCACTAGGAGTTTGTTGTGCAACAGCTACATTACGCTACGGTAACCGCATAGGGTCCACTGGTTTGCTGTGTGGGGCCATGATCTGAGCCCTTGGTGTGGAGGTCTCTGGCGCCCAAGCTTCCTGGTTTAGGTACGACTGAAGCACCCCCCGAACCCTAAACCCTAAACCCCTAAACCCCCAAACCTCTGAACCCTAAACCCAAAACCCCCAAACCTCTGAACCCTAAACACTAAACCCCTAAACCCCTAAACCTCTGAACCCAAAACCCAAAATCCTAAACCCCTAAACCTCTGAACCCTAAACCCTAAACCCTGAACCCCAAAACCTCTGAACCCTAAACGCTAAACCCTAAACCCCTAAACCTCTGAGCCCTAAACCCTAAACCCCTAAATCCGCAATGTACGGATCTGAATAATAAGTGGCAGCATTCAGTGAGCTCAGAAGCCCCAAGTGGCAAAGTGTTTCGGGTTTCGGGTTGCGGCTGTGGGATTTCGGGTTTGGGGTTTAGGGTTTAGGGGTTTAAGGTTTAGGTGTTGGGTTTTGGGTTTAGGGGTTTAGGGGTTTGGGTTTGGGGTTTAGGGTTTGGGAAGATGGCTTAGGACTTCGCTAAGGGCTCAGCTCTTTAGAGTTCCGGATGTGTGTGGGGGCTTGGGGGGGGGTTCTGCAGTTTTGGGACATCGGGGCTTGACCGTTGGAACAGTTGGGGCCTGAGTCTGCTCTAAACGGCGGGCTGTTTCCTACTGCAGGTAGAGCGAACGTCACCATCATGGGAGCCCGGTAGGGGCCAGAAGTTGGTACGGCCGCTAATTCGAAATGCCACTTCTGCTTATTTTTCTGTGGGGAAAGAATCCGAGCCTGCAGATGTTGTCGAGTAGAGGGTCTCCCTAAAGCCAAAACCCTAAGCCCTGAACCTCATTCGCAGGACGTTCATCAATGGCGTCCGTGTGGGGCAGCGGCCTCATGCATTTTCCCCACGTTCTGCTGGAAATGAGCCTGCCAGGGCTGAGAATTCATCCTGAGGTCCTCAAGCTAAAGCCAACGTACCACCGATAGCAATAGCAGCAGAGGTAGGGCTAGTAGCATCCGAAGCAACATTCATGAAGGATTGAAAAAGATTTTGACCAGTTCTACTGGCTCTTGGTCAGTGTTTTCAGAGGGTTCCTATCAAGGTTTTTGCGCGAAGTTCTGTTTAGGATTCCCGTAAACCCTAAACCCTACTAAACCCGAAAAGGGTTGCGATGCCATGCCAGACCTTATACCCCAAAACCGAAATCCGGCATCCCCACGAATCAGGCGGGGGAAGTCCGAAACCGTGAAGGTCGGCGATGAGGCACCCTGATTGAGTTTACGGTTTAGGTTTTAGGGCACCCTCATTGGGCTTTGGGGTAATGGCACTGCATGGGCCAGGCATCACAAGAGATGAGCTCCACAACATGACTTTACTTGGTTAGGCTGGAAAAAAGTTTTTGGTTTGGTACCTGGGGGTTCAGGGTTTAGGGCTCTGAGGTTTAGAGATCCGGTTTAGAGGTTCAGGGTTTCATTTTTGGTAGTTTATGGGTTTGTGGTGTCGGGTTCAACACCAGCCGAAGGACCCTAAACCTAAAACCCCAAACACCCTAAACCGGGTGGGCATCGCATGGACGTTGCGGGTAGTTAAGCACACGGAATCGCAAAATTTTTCACACGAACGAAGGTCCCCAAAGAAGGATGTCGGATACAACAGATTGGCAGGATGGTAAAAGGCGGTTGGTAAGACTTGCGATCCATCCGCAAAAGTTCCACGTGGTCACATAAGCGCCGGCAAAGTAACCGGCGCACGTGGACCAAAACCGGTAGCGTGAAGAAAAGGTGTCCAACCCGCAGTGACAGCACAGGGCGGGAAAAGAAAGAACGCTTCCGCGCCGACAGCTTACCGAAATGCGTAGCATCAGCTAGCGCAAAGAATTGGCAGCGAGTCCAAGACACTCCAGAATGTAGCCCTTGACACTCAGCTCGCATGGAACCAGCATGTTGGATAATGGGCTGAATCGACACCTTGCTCAGACATTGCTGCGCAAAAACATCGTGGCCCACTCGAGGTGAAAAGCCGAGCTTCTACCACCAGTAAGGCCAAGATAGCCTCTGTTGTATCCCGCAAAGGTGAGGTCCTGGCATGGCGATCCCGCGATGACATAGATGCATTGCACATCCCCCGAACACAGGCACAGAAACTCGTGCAGAATCAGGCAATGGCGCTGAAATATTGCAGCAACATCAGAGGCGTAAAGCACCGGAAACCCTCCATGACAATGATGCCATTTGCCATCGTCAACATATCCTTTAACAGCACGAACTAGCTGACGCACATTCGCATCATGCTCCGCGGCAAGGAAAGCACACGGTCGCCTGACATGACGACTTTGAATAATGTCTATGGCAGACGAGGCGCCATCGAACAGCGAAATAACGCTATAATTGACATCACCGATGTCAGCCTTACACTCTCTGTTTGCAATGGCCTTGATATGCACAAGCCCCTCCTGCCGCCGAACAACATTCTTAGCTGTCGGAAATGAAACTCGCTTGCTGCAGGCACGGCGAGATCTTTACGAACTGATTTCCCCGTTCCAGAGTACGCTTCAAATTCACTGAATCTTTTACTGATACTCACCCTGTGACCAAGACCGCCCCCTTCGATCATCCTCAGAATCTTCCAAGCAGACACTCTCCAGAGCTGTTTGGGCGCCAGCTCTCGCATCGACAACTTAGTGGCTGAGTAGGTAACCTTTAACCTTTGTTTATATAATCTTACCGTAATTGAAACCCCAACACGATCTGCGATAAAGGGGTCTAGGAGCAGCTTCAGGTTCAGGTTTTCGGGGGCGTGGTTTTTGGACGTCCATGGTTAGAGCTGTTGCTCTTCTTCTGTTTAGTTCGTGTTTTCGGTTATAGGCGTTAGGCCAAGCATTTTTCTACAGAATTCTGAAGATCATCAAGAATGTTGTCCACATTTGTCTTTACCAGAACATGCCCCAAAACCCCGTTCGAATGATGAAGGCTTTTTGGGGTTCAGGTCTGCGTTTGCGGGTCTTGGCAAGTCAGGGTTTAGGTTCAGGACTTCAGGTTTGGGGTTTATGGCCTGTATTTGGAAGCCGCCCTACCTTGCAGAAAAGGCAGTTGAATTTCAACATGTTGAGAACCTAAACGCAGCTTTGGCTTTGGAAGTGTATCAAAGAGTTTTCGCTAGAACCCTGGGCCCTACAGCCCATCCCGCCACATTCGCAGATCTCGTTGGCGAAGCCGACGAGGAAAGGAGGTGCCGTCATGTTCCGAATGGAGGCTGGATGCAGATTTGGGTGTGTACTGTTTGGGGTTTCGGATTTCAGGCTTGGGTTTGGGTTTTCAATGCCAGCTGAGGCTGGCTTAGGATCTTTCATGGGGCACGCGATGGAGACCGCGCTTCCTTTCATAAAAGTCAAGACGACTTTGACTAATCAGTTTGATAAGAGAATAAGGTCATCCAGCTAATACTGCCTTCGAAGCAGGGTGCTTCGCTGATCAGAGGTTTGCATTGTAGCTTAGTCTTCCGTGTCGCGCTGCTGAACTTTGACTGTTCAGGGTTCAGCGGTTTCTTCTCGCTATCATCATTACCATGATACCCCATCGTTTCAGGTACGGATGCCGTTGACGGTGTCAGCTTTCTTGTCATATCATGATAACAGATACCAACAGCAGCCGCTGTAGCTAATCGACTGTTTAACTTGATGATACCGTATGAATCGGCCTTGGCTTTTGGGAAGCCAGAACACTGGTTCCAGAGCCGTGGGCCGCGAAGAAGTGCTACTGAACCCCTGCAAACCCCCCCGCCCGGAAGCCTGAACCCTTTCCGCCCGAAGCCGTCAACCCAAAGCCTAAACTGAAAAGCCTGAGCCCTAGAATCGCCCTAGAATTCAGACGCCCAGCCCCCACAAGCTTGCCTCTCAACGGGACGAGGCTTGTGAGGCGCCGAAACCTGCCTTTGTCAATCCGGCAGAGGCCGCCGACTTGCAGGGCTTCCGGTTGCAGGGCCCCGTAAACCCTGAGCCCAAACCTCCAAAAGCCGAAGTTCTATACCCCCTCGGCCATGAGGTTTCAGGGGTCCGCATATTTAGGATCCTGCTGTTGAGGGGTCTTTGTTGGGGTTTCGGGGTCCTGCAGTTGATGCTGTCAAGTTTGCGACCTGGCTGCCGAGAACAAGGCATGTTTAGTACATATTCCATCCGTATACACATAAGTACACAGCATTATTGAACTAATACTGTTTCTCCGGGCTGGAGGGGCTTATGGTCAAAGTGACCTCGTCTTTGTTTCAAGGACCCCCCCCGTCGTGTGTGCACAGGCCACGACGGTGATGCCAGACCCGTGGCTGCCTCGGTGCAGCTGCAGGTAGATCTCAGTTTTTTGGGTTTGGGTTAGATGCGGACCTGAAAACTGGTAATGGAATTCTCTAGGGCGACAAATCGCCAACACCCGAGTCCCAACATTCCCTCTTCTACTGTAGTCAATCCCCCTCTGAGCGCTCCGAAATTATACACTGCTTTAATGCCCCATTAAGTCCTCAGCCCTAGTGGGCTTGTCGAGGCTTGCGACGCTTTTGCCTTGGCTTGGCAAATCTTGCCGAATCTGGGGTTCATTGTCCTTGAACGTAGGATAAGGCTAGACTAGGGATATCGGGGTGTCGGAGACCATATTCAGTCCAAAGGCAAATTTTACTTCTCATTGTGCTTTGCGTTAAGGGGCCTCGGGCTAGCACGATATGGGGCTCTGGCGTTCTGAGGTTCAGGGCCCAAGCCACTAACAGTCGAACAGTGCTGGGTCCAAAGCCTGTAGAATTTTAGAGATTGGGTTTTTACACGGTGGTGTTCACAGATCCGTGCTTTACAAGGACCTGAAACCCTCAACGCGAACTTTAGGTATCATCGAGCTTCCCCCCTCCTTCCTGCCGAAGACAAGCGCCCTTCCACTGCCCTTGCAGCAGACCCTGCCCTGCTGAAACTCCTCAACCCTAAACCCCAAGCCCCAAGCCCTAAGCCCTAAGCCCTAGACCCCAAACCCAGAACCCAAAGGTCTAGACCACCAAAACCCCAAGAGCTGGGGTAAAAAGGGGCTCGGCACAGGCAAAACCCCAAACCCTAAACCCCCCCAAAACCCCAAAACACCCTCAGAATTGAAGCCGTGGCCGAGGCCTCTGGTTGCTCCTCCCCCGGCGGCAGAAGTACAGGCTGCCTCTGCAGGGGCCTCCTGTAAAGGTAGGGTTCCCTTTTAGGGTTCCCTTTAGGGGTTTCCTTTTAGTGTTCCTTTTAGGGTTCCTTAAAGTAGGGTTCCCTTCAAGGGTTCCCTTTAGGGGTTCCTGTAAGGGTTCAGGGTTTAGGTGCAGGTTTTAGGGTCGCGAGTTTCGGGTCGAGAGAAGCTCCAAGCTCCAACATCCTCGAATCGGAGTTTCAGTTCGGATCGCTGATTCACGGGTTTGGGGCTTAGGGTTTAGGGTTTAGGGAGGGTTTAGGGTTGAGCCCTCCCTTCCCTTAAGTGCTTGAATGCAGGGATCTCTAGTTTGAACTTTCTGGCTCCATGAAATCTCACCATCAACTCGAGCGGAGTTCTTGAATTAGCACTGCAGGGCCCGAGGCCCAGGAATGCCCTTACGGGTCTCTGAGAGACCTAGGGCTCAGGGTTTAGGGTTTAGGGTTTAGGGTCTACTTCGTACTTCTCCTGGGTTCCATACGGGAGATAGCAGTGCGATACGAAGCATACGGGGTTTAGTACATGGTAGGTGACCTTTCAGTAGATTACAGGGGTACCTTTCTTCAAGGTATGGATTGCAGCGGCACCTCTTCAGCCTCCAAGACGGCGGTAGGTGGGCCCACCTGCAGCCCTGGTTGCTCCAAGCCCCTCGAAAACGGGCCGAGAAAATTACCAATACAGTTTTTTGGGGGTTCGTTCCTTATTATAACTATAGTATAAGATACCCCCAAAACCCCATTCTAATTACTATAAGGCCCCTACACTACACCCCAAAACCCGCCAGCTCTGGACCTTGAGCAAACCGAGGTGCCGACAGCTGCGCACGCTGCCCTCTCTGCGGCAATGGCCAGACAAGCGTGCCAGCGACAGGCCGGGTGGTTAGGGTGTGGCCAGAGTGGATTGGCCGAAGCAACACAGAAGACGGAACATCGAATCGCGAGGCTCACCCCCACCCCCCCCTCCCCCCGAACCAGGAACCCTACAGCCTAAAAGCGAAATAACCCGGCTACCTAACTCCTTGACACCTTGAATCCCCCTATCGGAGGCCCATGCACCATGGGATACTGAAGCGCTTGAAGCCTTTACCCCACCAGTTCGAGGCCTCAAAGCCCCAACGGAATATCCGCATAAAACCCCTAGGCGGAACGCAAGGACCTTCTTTGCAGAGTGGGTGTAAGGCTCAGCACCTGGCCGCCAGGAGTGGAGATGACTCCCATTCAATAAGCTGAAACAAAATAAGACTGTGAGTAGCACAGAGGCAGTAGCAACACGTGGAAGGCTTCTGAAGACTAGAAAATCTCGGAACATTACGAATAGAGAAGTCTAGGATTGTTTGGTGCTTCAGAATGAAAAAGTACAGTAATTTGGTAATTTTCGGCTAAAAACCTATGGACAGGAAAAACTCTGGAAATTGCAATATCAGTTCGTATAAGAAATAAGAACTTGGAGATTTATCGGTCTGGATAAGACTTTGTAATAGATATCAAATAGTCGTTTAAGACATACTGACTATGTATACGTATGTATGTATATATATATATATATACATATATATATATATATATGGCTTTCATTCGAATAGCATATATTTCATTGGTATGATACCTTTTTTTTTAATAGATATTATATATATATACACAACAATCGGCGAGTTAGCTTGAAACAATTAATAGACGAATAGGTATTTGCGGGAAGCTACTTTTTCGTCCTCCTATGTATATAAATATGCTGAGTGAATGACCCGAAAATAGCTCGGGTCTTGAAGTCTTTGCCTGCAGGAAGAGAGCCAGCAACTCGAAGCACGAATTGCCGCCGAGAAGGCTTGCGCTGTTTGTGAGAGGTTAAAGTTTGGGACCGGCTTTTCCCAGAGATTCTTTGGAGTGTAAGTAGGGTTTCTGTATTGCATCTGTATTTGCCTCTCTCTCTGTCTCTCTGTCTCTCTGTCTCTGTCTCTCTGT